ATCATGGTGATGAAATATTGGTGATGTGAAAATATGTTATTTTTCACATTTTTCTCTCTCCTCCCATATCTCTCATAAAAATTGAACTATACAATCTCATTATTTTACATAGACAGCTAAGTTACCGATGTTCCATCATCATAATGATAATAACATTATTCTTACTTAATAGAGTAGTCCTAATAATTACACTGGAGATTTTTCAGTTTTACTTGGTCCAGTGGTCCTTGTAAATAAAGATATGTTAAAGATATAACTTTTATGATTTGCCAAGATATTTCAGCAGAAAATTATGCAACGTCCTTTTCTCCATTGAAGTCAAGAACAGAGTAATAAAATTATGGGGGAGAGAGAAGAATTTAATGGAGAAAACGCATGTTGAATTTTAGTCATGTACGGTACATTATACTGAATAAAACAACCTAAAAATTGTATAATACGTTCGATCTTATTACATTTATTGTACGTTTTAGATCTATTGAGCAAAGATACACACAAATTAATTAGCAATAAATATATATTTTACGAAAGTTGGATCTTGTAAGAAATATAGTTAGCCACTGTTTGGGTTTATTTTTTTCAAATTCATTTTCAATTTTACAAGAGAACATTTGTGTTTCATACTTGTATATAATTTGAATAAAGCTGTTCTGCCAGAAAATTTTTAACATGCGTTTTGATGGATACTCACATTGTCGTGGGACCCGTTGTAATAAAAAAATTTCAAAAAATTGTGGGCCCTCCCCCTAGTGTGAGTATTCTGTCAGTCTGCATGTTAAAAATTTTCTGGCAATGTAGCAGCTCTGATATAATTTAAGCTCCTCTGCCTTACTCGCAAACAATTATTTACTAAATTATTAATATTTTAACCACTAAAAACATGTGCAATTTAATCGACGATAAGAAAAAAAATAATTTGTTATTTAAAAATTGGCAGATTCTAGGAAGTTTCATTATCATCCCATGTGCAAAACAGAACATATGTACCCCCACGACCTGCTAAGAGGTCCCAGTCCTAGTCCTAGGACAAAAAAAATAAAAAAAAATGTCACATGCTACAAATTTATTGATCGATCTAAATTTACTTTTAAACTTGCATTTATTTCAATTGGGTCGTCATTTTTGAATTCCATACCATTATTTAACAAAATGTAATACCTAGGTATAGGAATAATGAAGAGCAGCCGTTAAATTACCTTACGATCAAATTAAGCGTGTTAAATATATCATCGAATAATCTTACAAGCGACAAAGCGCAATGCAATGGTTAAAAATATTAAGAAAAAAAGTTAATTATTAATCAAAAAAGTAATCTAATAGTCCTAGCAAGTTCATCACATCCATAATATATTAAATATTCCATCAATCGAGAATTATTTTTTGAACGATTTTAGTTTCACTACAATTCGATTATTACAATAAAATTTATATTTTAAATTTTATTTTCTTTAATTCGTTTGAGACTTATCAAATCCTTCCAAAAAATTGGTATCAAATATTACTTTTAAAATACATATAAAGTATTTCAGAATAACGTGTAATGCACGTTCAATTCTGACTAGTTATTATTATAGATGTGCCCCCAGGGCACATCTCCAAGTGGTAGAAGGGGAAGATGGAAAAACTCCAGCTTTGCTTGAGGCTGTCGCGTCAAGGGTTCGAATCCTGAAATATGGATTTGGCCATTGGGTAAGTGCAAATATACAAGTAGCCTTCCACCCTGTACTTTTGGAGGCATAACCTGCGATTTACCTCCTTCACCAAAGCTCAGGGCAGGGAAGGTGGGGACCGCTAAGAATGCAGTTCATCCTTTATTAAAGATAAGGTCTCAATCAGAACTGGTAGACAAATCAGTGAATGACACGTTTACAATATTGTATTCTGGTCAAAAAAATTCATTTGTCAACCAAAAGCTTACCACCTTTTAATCAATTAAGAACAAGCAAATTACAAGTATTTAAAAGAAATTGAAAAAGAGAGAAAAAAGCAGCTGACACCGCCGTGGGAGCCGGAGGGATAGCTTCCCTTTTCACACACACATGGTGGTGGAGCAGTGAGAGAGAGAGAGAGAAGAAATAATTTTTTAAAAATAGAGAAAATATTAATAAATTAATGTCTGTTACGTAAATTCATGTGCATTTTCTCGTTACATAAACGTTTGAACGAAGATTTGGATGGCTTTTTACACCATTGCATTTTCTTACGCGTTTCAAGATATCGAATCACACTGCCCAACATGTATATAAACATCCAAACCCACTCTCGTCCTCACAATCGAAATCAGCACCTACTTTCTTGAATTTATTCCACAAATTCTTGGTATTTTAAGCTTTAATATTAGGAAAATCTTTCAATCTTGAATCAAGAATCCACTAATAATGGTCCGAGTGAGCAACAATTTGGTTGGCATTCTCAATCTAATCACACTTTTGCTATCAATTCCTATCATAGGAGGGGGCATATGGCTCTCAAAACAAGCCAACACAGAGTGCGAGCGATTTCTAGACAAGCCAGTAATAGCCTTAGGAGTCTTTATTCTGCTGGTTTCAATTGCAGGTTTAGTGGGTTCTTGCTGTAGGGTTTCATGCCTATTATGGGTATATTTAGTGGTAATGTTCTTGTTGATTCTTCTATTGTTTTGCTTCACAATCTTTGCATTTGTGGTGACAAATAAGGGGGCTGGTGAGGCCCTTTCTGGTAGAGGGTATAAAGAGTACAGATTGGGGGGTTATTCAGATTGGCTGCAGAAAAGGGTTAATAATGACAAGAATTGGAATAAGATTAGGAGTTGTTTGCAGGATAGTAAGATTTGCCAGAGGCTCCTTGATGATGGTTCGTCCACCAGAGTTGAAGATTTTTACAAAGAACACCTTTCTTCCCTTCAGGTATATACATATATACATTGTTACAATTGTGGATGAATGCCTATGAATTTGTGTTATGAATACCAAAATTATAATGTACACTTGTTTACTCGACTGCGGATCGACCTTCGCAGGCCGAGGGGTGGTGAGTGGATATAAATCATATAATTCTTTACTGAATGGATAATATATGTTTCAATTACAAGTTTCTTTATGATTTGTAGATTCGTTATGAATTATGGAACAGAACTGCTTTAAATCTGGGTGGGTCAGATTTACCCATTTTTACATTTTTATGTGTCTGAAAGTTCTTGAAACTGTAATTTGAACATGTGATTTAATGGTGTCTATGATCTGATTATCATTTATTACAAAAAAAAAAAAAAAAACCAACCGGAAAAATTGTTAGTTGGGTCCATGGAATTTTTCACATTTAGAAAAGTGAAAAGGTTTACTTTTTGTTCTGGAAATTTTTCCTTATGTTTGTTGCAAAGTTGAAGGACTTTAACCTCGTTTAACTATTGATTTTGTCTGGAAAAGGTGCTTTTGTATAAAAGTGCAGTATATTTTGTATATCTTATATTCTCTTGTAGTAAAAGGTTTTGAGTTCTTGGACAAAAATATGTATTTTTTCAGCTTTTTCATACATTATTTTGAGATCATTTCCAATCATCGTCGATTTCCATAGTATAGACATGCTTTTCTTTATCTATTGTGATGTTGAGCGTTTAGGGATGTGTGAAATGAACTCTTACAGTTTTATGGACATTCATTCATATTTCCTTTAACAGCATATCAATCTTTTCTATTTTTTCCACATACAGAGCATGCTCACCTGTGTTTTTTCATTTAATTCCCGATTCCATTGTTGCTATAGCAGTTCAAAGATACTCTGATATGTGATTTTTTTTCTTGTGTATTTATCTTGTACATAAAATGGTTAATATGATATCATAGTTCTAAACTCATGGAACTATATACTACTAGTGAAGTACACAAGAAGCCCGAAACCATTTTTCACAGCAGAGATTTTATGTTACAAGCAGGGAAAATTTTATTTGCTTTGCATACTATAAGCACTTCCTACGACATTTGTTGTCATGCTGTTGACTAGTTTACTCCAAATTTCAAGTTATAGACCAATTTTTTATATCATTATGATCTAAATATACCTATATTTTCGTATCTGATTCTTGAATATGGTTGCCTATTACCAAAAACTTTGGAGAAAGGGTATATTTCATGGAGGCCTTCAAAGGCAAAATAGGATTGTTGGGAATGCATTTCTAATACTATTGTCGTCTTGAGATTTTCTCTGGCATGAAGTCTTGATGTCTTAAATTCATCTCTTGCTAGAAATTTGTTCTTGGATCAATTGGAGCTTTGCCACTTCATTCGTCTTCTTAATATACACACTTCTCTTATTCTAAGGCAGATGTGTTATGAACTTAATGCGTGTACTGTTTTTTCAGTCTGGTTGCTGTAAGCCATCAAATGACTGCAACTTCCAGTACATCAGCCCAACCAACTGGACTCGGACTCCAACCCCATCCTTGACTAATCCCGACTGCACTGACTGGAGCAATGATCCGAGCATCTTGTGCTATCACTGCCAATCTTGCAAGGCAGGGCTGCTGGACAACATTAAGAGGGACTGGAAGAGGGTGGCTGTTATCAACATCATTTTCCTCATCTTCCTCATTATCGTGTACTCTGTTGGATGCTGTGCATTCAGAAACAACCGGGAAGATAATTCATGGAAACGGTACCCTTGAATGTATATCGACTCTTGTTTTTAGTAGAGACATGTCAGTATCTAAAGAGAGTCATTTGAACTCTTCTACTGTTTTATCGCATTCTGTATGTTACAGCGCCAGTTACTATATTTTTTTTGGTGTACAGTTTATTGCTTTTACCTATCTGATTGGATTGCATAAACAGATTTATATTGATATGCTTGGGATCTGTTGTTATAGATTGGCTTATTGTTCATTTCAGCTTTTCTGTCTTCTTGTTCTGGTACCTTTACAACTTTGTTAATGCATATACATAAAACCATGGTGCTGATAGATGTCTTAGACTCTTAATAGTTTGTTTGGTAGAGTAGATTGGATTAACTGGACGATCTTTAGAAAGATTGAGAAAAAACTAAAATCACCCAATGGATTATTGGATCCATATTGATGCAATGCCGCCAGATGAATAAGACTGGCGCCTACTAAAATAAAGGGGAGTAAATGATGAATACTAAAAAAACGATTTAAGGTGGCATTGTCCACGGAGAAACCCCCCGTGCACCAAAAATTTTCTATGCACCAGTAATTTCACAAATACTGTCATTTTTTTCTTGTTCCTTTTAGTCATGAAGGGGGAATTTTCAGTAATAATTTCTTGGATAGTAAAACAGTCCCTCAAAAATAAAATAAAAAAGGCAATGCTCAATTTTTTCTTATGGCAAAAGAGAATGATCATTCATTCCTTGGAGCTTATCATTGAACATCTGATCCTCAATGCTCAATTTTAAATGACGATGTTACACACCACTGTGAGGATTTCAAGGTAACCATTACAGTTAAGTACACGAATTTAATGCACACTACTGTTTTAGAAAAACTACAACAACAAATTAAGCTGTTTCCGAGGGTTGTAGCATTACAGTTCGTAGGTAATAGGAAGACCCGTCCATAAAAGAAGCCTTCGTGGGCGATCCAAGAACCTGGCTTGCCATGCAGGTTCATCACTCTCGAAAGTGAAACCACTTTTCATGTACAAATTCTTCGCCGGCTCATTATCCACAGCCACGTGAACATATAAATCACTTATTCCTGATGAATTATGGAAACTCAGTTCACGGAGTTGCTCAAAAGAGGACATGAGAAAATAATCAAAGATGAGAAGAAAATTGTATTAATGTTAAGCATTAATCCCTAACAATCAAAATTTCACTGTATCACAAACAACTGTGGCTTTTACCCCAATCTTCAGCCACCATTTTTGACTTTGCGATGAGCTCATAGCCTAAACCATTTCTCTGCAATTCCTTGGCCACACATACATTGCTAATGTATGCCCTTGCAAAATCAGCCCCAATTCCCTGTCGAAGTGGAATTATAGAGTCGTTAGGACCACGTTGAGGATTTTCTGTATCATGTGAAACTTTAGGACCACCTGGAGCTGGATGTTACTCACTAATCTTTCTTTTAAAAAAGAAGAAGTTAAAATCTTGTACATAAACTGTCGAGTCCTGCCAGACTACGTAGAAGACACGGAGTTCTAATACACGACACGTCAGCATAAGCAAAAACTTCGATGTAGCACTTGGAGAGTGGAAGATTTGAAGAGAAAAATAAATTGCAATATAATGTTTTTGAAAATTGACTTCCTGTCTTTTAATCTTGGTTCTTGAAAACAACACAGTCCTTCCGTTACCTCTAAACAAGAAGTATCCAGGAATCAGAAAGATTCATAAATAGTCAAAACAAAATAATATTCTGAGACAACAATAAGTTCCTGCTGTAAGTCCTTGATCCTCAATGGTACCGCAATATTCTGAGAACAATAATATTCTTAGATCCCTATTCTGCATTTAGTGAACCACTGTACATGCCTTTTTATAATGGATGGGCACTAATAAATACCTTTGGTTTCATTCCTGTTATTTCATCTGGAAGGCTGATGCATTGATTCAGATCTAATGTCCCTACAACTACTCGATCTTCTCCTTTATGTGAAAACTGCAAAGAGAGATAGTAAAGTAAGTTAATTTGGTCACAATATAATAATTTAACCACACATGGTCATATAGATGCAACTTTGTTTCAGTGTATGCCTGTGTTACGTATATATATTCAAACACTGTCAAGTAATTTTATTTTCACCAGAATGGTGCAAACTGGACCTGGAAAGGTGATTGCCATCTAAGATGCTGCACAAAAGGTGACCATTAAGGGCAGAAAATTAGAATCCAGAAATGATACTTGCTAGCTTCATATTTCTCATAGTAATTATGATATGCTACATTCTATGAAAGACATGCGATGTTCCCATCCAGATCAAGGATTAAACCACATTAAAAATATGCTACCGTAATAAATGCTAATTCCTACGGGTTCACATCAACGATGATAAACTGATAGAAGTAGACCACAGTAGGTATGCTAATATCAATCAAAAATTCATGTCAAAAAACAAAATACATAAAACACGTATTAGATTATCCTTTTAGAAGAATCAAGAATAGACTATGATTCACTCATGTTTTTACACTGTTTATAAACACTCATACCACTTTTTATTCACACATTTCGAGAGACACACAAGTAATGCACGCTTATTCACCACTCATTTCTAGCTATTTATAATTTAATCCGTTTATGAAACTTCCCAAACATGCTCTTATATACAGACATTGATTCTTATAATCTAGAAACAAAAACCACAAGAAAGAACTATCAATCTTTTCTTTATTTTTTATGCAAAATATGTAAAGAAATGGAAAATTGACAAAATATTTGGACATGCTGATACTAATTTCTTATGAATGTATGTAAAATAGCAAGTACATCTTGCTGGACCTAATGGTGCACAAATCTATATCAGATATGCTTCCATTCATATATAATTCACAAAATTTCAATAATTGTATGGATCAAAATTACACATGTTTATGTGGTGAAATTTCGTATTACTTAGAAATTATTTCTTTGCTTGCAGTTTACATATTCCAAATAAGGGAAAAAATAATCTGAAATTACAATGTAGAAGCAAAGAAAGATTTTCAAAGCTAAAATGAGAGCGCGATCACTATTTTTTGCCTACTGACATTCACATCCAATTCCAGTTCACTGTTCTGTCATGCACAGCTGTGCATTATCAAAGTACAGAGGAATCTACGATAACAAAGGTTGGGCTAAAATCTGAGAAGTATCAAAGAAATTTACCCATATAAGTTTAGCTCACGTGTTACTGTTGACAAACACATTCTCCCAGCTCAAATCGCCATAATTTATTTTAATCCAGTAACAAGTTGGTTCAGCAGAACTGAATGCTAAATCAGTCTCAGTAACACCAAACATCATCTAATTGACAGCTAAATAAAGAGCACACAAAGTCCATTTACAGATTAACGATACTGAAGTTAGCAGTCCAATCGAACAAGTCAAAGATGCTTACTTTACAAGAAGTACACAGGTCATGCGACACACTTGATACTGTTGATAATGCTAGTGTAGCATTGATGCAGGAAACTCTTCTAAAGCCCTTCCTTAGTCCCGCAACACGTTCTTTGAGTGCTTCAAACTCACGCTCAGTCAAGTACCTTATATGATCCTAATAGAACTTGACAAGTAGATAAAAATATCAGCATTATATTAAACTCACGCTCAGTCAAGTACCTTATATGATCCTAATAGAACTTGACAAGTAGATAAAAATATCAGCATTATATTACAGTCTCACTGACCTGAGTCAATCATATGATCAAGAAAATCTAATACCGAATTGTCAAAAGTGAATACATTTCATAAAAGCAGATTCACAAAAACTCAATCTAGCATTCTGTGTATTAATCCATATGTAACATTTGCGATAGGAAAGATTGAACCATTACTAAACTACCATAAATCAATAATAACTACTAATACGAGAGAAACACCTATTAATTTTATCTAACTAGATCAATTCTGTATCAACTTCACCAAAATCATATATCACTTATTACCAAATAAATGAACTAAATTCGCTTTATGAGAAATTTAAGGACAAGATATTCATTAGAGTACAGAAATTTAAAATAAATCCCACAACAAGAAATAATTCTCGAACTTCGAGGTAAGAAGGGAATCTAATCAAAACCCAACTTCTCCAACAGCTTAACTAATATAATCGGACGAATCTTATATTTATTTTTACACAAAAGCTGTAATTCAATAAAATTCTCCCCGTTGACTTGAAATTACTAGAAGAAGGATGAACGAGAAGAGAATTATGGAGAAAACTCACTTCTATGCCAAAAGTCTGTTGATTGAAATCGTAGAAAGTGCGAACGCGGAGGCAAGCTGTGGCCCATAGCTCAGCCTCGTGGCTACCTTCCGATACACTCAAAGACGACCTATCAATTCTTGTTAATGGTGGTGCTTCTGTTTGGTGGTTGGAGAGTTGGGAACAAGGAGACTGTGAACGAAGTGGAGGACGTCGGGGGATAGAGATAGGGAAGTTGGCGGCGGCGGGATGGTGGTGTTTGAAGATTTTAAGGTAAGCTTGTAGTGGTGGAGAAGGAGATGATGTGAGGACGGCCATCTCTCTCCCCTCAATTGCTTTGTCTTGCGTGTTTGGCTAAGCTTAATATATGTTGTGAAAATTACATTTGAGGGACCAAACTTGGCATAATATAATGTTTAGGTTCCTCTTCTTATTTTCTTGGCAAATGCATCCTTGAACTTTAAAAACGCATAAGTATTTGATTAAATCTTTTAGTTTGTCGTTGTATCATTGCATTTCTTGCACATGAGTGCCACACGAAAGGGTATTTTGGTAGCATTTGGGGGATTTACCATTTTTTTCAATACTTTAAAAATGTAATTTAGTAAACTAGTAATGGTGGATTCATATATCAAATGTCACCCAAAAGGAAGTAAGATTCATTATTGTCACTATATGTGGACATCCATAAACCTCTTTTAAAGCTGGTTTTCCATGAATCTAATAAGGAGAAGGGACTTCTACAAACCAAGTTTGTATGGAGATAGTCGATCCAGAACCAACAAGGGCTAGTTAGGGAGGTAAAGAAAATTGGTTCAATGTAAAATCTGTTGCCAAATAGGTTTGCCATGACATGAATTTGGTTTGGAGAAGGGAGTAGCTATGACCTAAGTTTGGGTGGAGATGGTAGGCTGCAAAACCAACAAAGATTCATTGTGAAGGGTTTGTAAATTAAGTTTGAGAAAGACAGTTGCATACTAGATTTTAGCAAGGATGACAAGTCATAAAGCAACAAAAGCTAGTGAGGGGGAAACATGTGGTAGGGTAATGGTGGTATGTGGCTGGACAATGGATAGTATAGGTTTAGGGTATTATGCGGGATGAGCAGCTTGTCTGCTCGTCTTGTCCCACTTATGATTCGAGGTGACTCAACTCATATCCATGATGAGTTGCGGGCATGAGCCGAACAACAAATTACACGTGCGAGTCCTCGCTAGCTTGCGAGCTCATTTCTCTCTAGCGAGCCGATTCATGATTGATAAGTGAAATACAATTTTTATAACAACAATAACAACAACAATAATAATAATAATTGATGAGTCGCGAGGACGAACTGGTGGGATGAGTGAGCCCACATTCGGTGAAGTGAGTCGGCTTGCTTGGTGAATCGAGCTAAGCCAGACAATGAACAAGTCGAGCGATTTGGTACATTTAATACTCTTATATAGGTTCATAAAGAAAAACATTTATTTTTATTTTTCATTTTTTCTGTTTTGAAATATTGAAACTAAGGGTCCGTTTGATTGCAATGGTGAAAAATTGGTGGAAAGAAAATGAATTATAGGGAATTGAATTGTCTAGAAATTATTTTACTGGGAATTGTAATTAATTGTGTTTGATTGATATAATTTTCCACCTGAAAAATGTTGAAAGTTTGGTGTCCGTTTAACTTTATTTTTTTTATGAAAATTGTCCATTAAAATGATAACTTTTCTACGATTGGGTTTAGAATTTGTTTCAATTGCTTAAAAAAAAAAATTACCATACCGAATATCATTCGTTTGTCTTTGTTTTGTATGTAAATTTCCATTAGAGAGAATTTTTTTTTTTTTTTTTACCATTGTTGATAGATTTTTTTCAATTGCCAAAAAAAAAAAGTTGGAAAACATAAAACCACCAAAACATTGGGAAAACAAATTCATTCAAAATGTGGAAAACTGGGCGCGTGAGTGAAAATGGGAAAATGAATTCAATGCAAAAGTTTTGCTATCAAACATGAACTAAAGGTGGAAAATGGAAAATCTTTTCCTATTTCCATGGAAAAGATTACATATCAAACAAGGGCTAAGTGTTTTATAAATACATCTTTCGAAAAACTGAACGTGTGAAGGTCAAGTAAAAATTGTCCACCTAAGCTTCTCGATACCCAACTGTGAAAAGCATAAGACTCAAGTGCCTCAGTTTAAAAGTTGGTCTAAACAAACTTGCTATAAAACCCATAACTTGGGATCAAAGTTGCAATTTTTCATCACAATGACAGAAAATAATTCATAAATATAATTATAACTTCTGCTACCTATACTCTTTTAGTTCTCCCTTAGTTCTCATTGTCACATTGTATACAAGTATATTTACGTAAGGTTCATTTGTCATTCTAAAAAAAAAGGACAAGCCACATTCTTGACGACTCCTATCAGCCCTGTTCTGGGCCTTGGTGAAAGAGATAAATCGCAGGTTATGCCTCTAAAGATACAAGGTGGAAGACTGTTTGTACATTTGTACTTACCCAATGACAAATTCATATTTCAGGACTCGAACCCTTGACATGGCAGCCTCAAGCAAAGCTAGAGTTTTTCCATCTTCCCCTTCTAAGAATATATTTATAACAACAGTAGATTATAACTGTGAGGTTTTGTTTTTTGGGGCAAAATTTATTATTGCTAAAAGTGAGAAAAACGGAGGCTTACTATCCAATTTCAATGGAATTTTCTACTAATGCATAAGACTATCTAATTGAGCTTGTTTGAGCCCAATTTTTTTTAAAGCATTTTAGAGTGGAGAATGTGTAGTTGAAAAAATTAGGAAAAAATTTGAATTTGCGTGTAATATTATTTTATTGAAAAATGTGTGATTAAAAAAAAAGAGAAATATATTTTGAAATTAACGAGATGGAGAAAACACTAAGGGGTTGTTCTCTTTGTGTTTCAGCTTTGTGTTTTGAATTCATTTTGAGTTTTGTGTTTTGAGTGTTGATTTTGAAATTGTTGAAAATATGTTCTTTTTGGTATTTTGAAAAATTATTTTGAAAACACCAAAAATGCGTTTTGAAAATTTTGACTTGATTATAATTGAAAACACTTAAAAGGATAAATTTGTCGTTTTGTATTTTTTTTGTAAATTTTTAACTTGTTTTCAAAAATGCGTACAGAAAACGTTCTGAAAATGATAAAGAGAACGGACTATAAGATTTAAGAGTACACTTAAGATTTAAGAGTACAAATCAAAGTGGAGAAAAATTTGACCTGATTGTGCCCCGGGGCACATCCGAGATGGCAAAGACAGTGCAAGGCTGGGCTTGCAACCCCAGTGTGGGGAGTTCGAATCACGGTGGAGCAGCTTGGTGATGTAAAAATCGATGTAGGAGGGCTCCCTTGGGGCCAGTGTATAAAGCTTGCATGGACACTGATTTGATTGGGCATAACCCGCGATTTACCTCCGCCCAGAGTTAAGGCACCGGTGATGGGACGGTCCAGGATATAGTCTGGTGTAAGCTGGAATACCTGGGTATCAAAAAAAAAAAAATTTGACCTGATTTGAGAGAGAGAGAATAAGCCTTGTACCAAAAATTGTCTGGCAATAATGTGAATTAATACCAAGAACCAATAATGAAGTGCGCACTTTCAAGGCAGGCATGTTTGTTTTCTGTTGGTCTGAGGTTGCCGCGAACCTCGCTGTCCCTTCCCTTTAACACCATCTCCACTTTTATAACCCTTTCTCAATCCCCATTCTCGTAGATACGTATATACACTAGTCGATCCAAATTTTATGCCTTAAATTTTATTTCAAGAGACATTTTATAAGGAAAAGTAGAGAGAGATTTGTGGGATCGCTCTGTCCTTAAATATTATCAACCTTTTTCGTTTAAAAATAAAAAGAGTCTTTTGGGTGTTGGAGCCTGGTTTTTGAGAGGTTAGGTGAAATTTGGGCTTCATATTTATCAAATATATAAATTTTGGAATTAGTTGTCATTATTGTTCTGAAATTTTCCCGGAAAATTTGGTATCTGGATATTTTTTATATTCAGGCAAAGTTTCAGGTGGGATTTGGAAACTATCTAGAGTTTCCGGGAAATTTTTGACATGGGCACTGCACAATCTTGATTTTAAGGGAATTAGGTTACAAAGTTTTGGTTAAACATTGTATTTTCTTTTTAATTTCCAGCTCTGTTTTTTGTTGGTCTTTCGGGGTTGACAAGGTCAAATTAATCTGTATAGGAATTTAGAAAACTGTCATTATCAATCAAGATTGAATAATTTATTCTTGAAATATAAATTTGGATTGCAAATGGGATTATGGTGTTGAAATCATCCTCCTCTTGTCCTTTGGAAAGTTTTAAAGATCGGAGTTTCAATCAGAGTTCAGTGAGATTCCGACAGTTACACCAAATATTTTTTGGATGTATTCACAGGTAAAGATTGGTTCCGAGGTGGTTACAGATTTGGTAAGAAACAAGGAAATTGTGTGCACAGAGAAGCTGATAAATTGGCGAGATTCCTCAGATTGTAATAGGATCAAGGAACCAAAAGCATAACAGATGCATAAAGACGACTTTGTAGGATTCTTTTAGTTTTTGTTACAGAAAAGGTCCTCATCTTCAATTTCGTATTTGAGGAATAGTAAATATATGGTGAGTATGAGATTGTTAAGTCTTGTGGGTAATTCTTTTGGATGTTCTGCATCTGGGGAGCGTCTGGTTTCTGCAGCAAGAGATGGGGATCTTCAAGAAGCCAAGGCTTTATTGGAGTATAATCCTCGCCTCGTGAGGTATTCGACCTTTGGTGTTCGCAATTCTCCCCTGCATTACTCAGCTGCGCAAGGTCACCACGAGGTATATTGTCATTTAGTGCTAGTTTTTTTTGTATCCTTTTAGTATCTATCAAAAGTGTTGGAATTCTAGGTGCCAATGGTGATTATATTATTTGTTCCTTGTATTCAGATCGTTTCCCTCTTAGTTGAATCAGGAGTTGATATTAATCTCAGGAACTATCGCGGGCAGGTAAAATTTTGTCTCTTTTCACTTCTTATGTGGATGATTCTTTATTGTGGATTTGATTTCTTTGATTCGACATAATTAAGTGATGATTAATTGCCCGAGCAGACTGCTCTGATGCAAGCTTGTCAATACGGTCACTGGGAGGTTGTTCAAACTCTGATTCTTTTCAAAGCCAATGTATGACAGTTCGTTCGGTGGTATATTTTGCTATATTTCATACAGGAACTAACTGAATGATTTTTTCTGGGGAGAAGTCCAACTTATTATTGTGTTTTATTATAGATCCACAGAGCTGATTATCTTAATGGCGGAACTGCACTTCACTTAGCTGCTCTAAATGGCCATTCCCGATGTATCCGGCTTATTCTTTCTGATTACATTCCTAGCATTCCTAATTTTTGCAGCATCTTAAGGAAAAGATCGAAAAATGATGAATCCATTTCAGAAATTGATTATAGGTACTGAATATTAAAATTTTCTTTTGAACTATGTAGCTTTTCTGTTTGCAGTAAGCTTAGTAGCTTTAATTTTCATTTTGCCCTTTTCAGTGTACTCTACGAGGTCATCAACAGACCTGCTGATGGTGGCATCACTGCCCTTCATATGGCTGCACTTAATGGGCATGATGAAGCTGTTCAACTCCTCCTGGATTTAGGGGCTTCCGTATCTGAGGTCACGGTGGAAGATGGAACTACAATTGATTTAATTGGCAAGTTAAACTTTTTATTCTTTTTGAATCCACATATAGTTGATGGATTTTGGTTTTAGCATGCACAATTACGTGCTTAAATATGATATAGCACATGTAGAGTGATAATTTACCGTCTCCATGTAGATTAGTAATGTTCCTTTTTTGCACAATGAAGTTTCTGGATGTACATCACCTTATCGAGTCATTTGACATATTCATTGTATGGTTTTGCTTCTTTGGAAGTGCATGCCCTTGGATGTGGGAATGAACTGACAACCAATTTTAGCAATAGAATGTTTGGTTGATTAATGCTCTTAACAAATAAGTGTTCAAATATAAAGATTTTAGAATTAAGAAGTAAGATGCTGGTATTGAAGGGAGAATCTTTCAACTGTGTTTCGTCAGTATCAGATTTGCCAGAATTTTGATTTCAAACAAATTGTGAAATTGTAGCCTGTAGTCAATTGTCTGATATGTACATGATTTCTTTGTCTCACACAAATGAGAATTTCTTATTTATAGATTTCAATCCATTTTTTTGTGGATTACTTATATGAATTGTGTTCGTGTTAGCAGTGGATTACACACCTTCAGATTAACTAAAAAGGGACATGGGAAATAGTAAATTCTTGACACTATAATCAAGTAGTAAAATATTCATTTCCGTTTTCACAAAATTGTTGAAGCAAGAGGCAGTATGAATTCGTGGAAGAGCATTCAGTTCCGATTCCCTTTTTTGGTTCTCAAAATAAATATCAAAAAGAACTTTATTAGCTAAATTTACAGGATTTTATTCCCACATTCTGGGTTTTAGACATGTATTTATATGAGATCTGCCAGATCAATAATGGTTTTCTTATATTTAATTTCCTCGTATCATCTCATGACGACTATACAATTCAATTGTTCATCTACACCTTTTGAATTTATCGTTTCCTTATCAATGTAGATGCAACTCTTTAAACAAAAGTCTAGCCATCCTTTTATTTTTCCCTTTTTGGCATGAGTGGTGCCTGCATTACGGGGGTAAAGGTTGGAATTGAAAATTTTCCTAGATATTTGGCATAAAATGCTTATATAATAGATTTAGCGACCAATATGAAACAGGAAGTAGAGCAATGAAATCCTACTTTCATAAACCTCCAAGTGTTTCTTATAATAGTTTTCTAACTAATCATATCGTATTTTATGTGGAACCTTACATTTCTTGCTGTTCCAAACAACAAGAAACAAGATCAGATCCCATTTTTCTTTTTTGCATGATTGGGTATTCTGGAACACGTGTGCGTCTGTAGGTGTGTGCACACTTGTGTGAGGGGGAGGGAGAGAGGGCTAAATATTACGTAAGAATGCAGGAATTAAGGATTCTAAGTTGGAAACTCTGTTGCTGTGTCTGTGAGCAAAGATTTCACGTTTAAAAGAAACTTCAATCCTATACTAACTGATCAACCTGCAAAGCTTATAGTGTGAGTTTGATTTTATAGAAGGCTTGATTGAACACTAGTTTAATGTCCATATGGCTCTACTTAGCCTCTCTTAAGCATAAGAGATGTCGAGAGAAAAGGTGCAGGGCATTGAATTTCTTGAATGTATATTTTCTTTAGCTCTGGATTAGAGAAAGGGAAGCTCGAAAACAGATACATTTTCTCATTTCACTCATCACTGATTATAAAAGCATTTAATTCTGCAGGTCCTGGAAGCACACCCCTCCATTACGCTGCTTGTGGTGGTAGTTCACAGTGTTGTCAGGTCTGTATATTTCAGGTCAAATGAAAATTTCAAAGTGGGCCGATGTGATCTAAACATATGATTGTTTTCGCTATTTTCAGCTTTTGATAAGAAGGGGTGCCATTCTGATTGCAGAAAATGCTTATGGGTATGCAAGTGACTTATTTTCATGTTTCAATGGCCACTCTACATATTTCTTCATGCGGTCTTGCATAAAGCATGTTTGTCTAAGCTTAAAAATAAGTAAAAGTTACTTTTAAGTAGGTTCTTATTTCCATGTTTTTGATAATGGCTTTCTTTTAAGAAAATAGTTATTTTGAGAGTGACTTTTACCTTACCATCAAGTAACTAATGTCAATTTGGATCAATAAAAAATCATTTTAGAACTTATATATTGTTGTATGTTTAAGCTTTCCGACATTTTATATATCATTCCAGGGGTTATCTGTGGCCGTTTTCAGCCATTCAGTCAGCCCCTATGATGATTGGTTTTAGTATTTTGAAGTTCTAAAATTTTATTACTCTTTATTAACCAATGGCTTGTTCTCTTAAATATTTGTTTCTATATGTTCAAAGTTGGACTCCCTTGATGGTTGCTCGATCATGGCGTAGAGATTCACTTGAGGAAATTCTCAGCAGGCGTCCAGAAAGCCAACCACAGCTTAGTCTTTCACCATATTTATGTCTTCCTCTTAAGAGCATTGTTAATATCTCTAGGTGAGCCAAAATTACACACTGCTCTAGTAATTTTTTAAAAATAATAAACTCTCTCAATGGGAGTAAAACATTAGAATGATGATATAATGTATATGACCTCTGCCCTCAATTTTTGTTTCTAAAATAGATCTTAAACAATATTGAAGACAAGAGTTTTAAATCAATACACGTAGCTCGTCTATAACAAAGTTTTTAGATGAGATGATTCAAGATAGTGTAAGAGTAGATAGAAGACCTAAGTTCAAGTCTTGACAGCACCTAATTATGAAAATTGTGCACGTCACACCTTTGGTAAAATGAATCCGCTCTGCACATGAGAAGGAGTGTTAAGTACAAATTTTAAATGAATACATGTAGCCATCTCCAATTGCTTAAAGTTATATGATGGTTGAACGTACAATGAAAGATATTTTAACTATTATTCTCTTTTGTTGCATTTGCAGAGAATGTGGATGGAGAGGCAACGATGCGCTATCCACATGCATAGATCCTTGTGTTGTTTGCTTGGAAAGGAAATGCACAGTTGCTGCAGAAGGTAAATTACCTCAAACTTGCAGATGGATCTCACTCTCTGTTTTCCTTTCTAGTCATGTAGTGGAAATTTTGTTAAAACGTGTACTTAAAGCACAAAGTAGACGGCGATAAGGATATCACTACTACTATATAGAATATGAACAGGTGACATTAATTTCCTTTAATAGTCTGCTTGGGATCTCTTGACGCGCGGTGATGGGTTGTTAATTAAGTTAGTTGTCGTCAAAATGCCAATTTCGATTCTGTGCTGATATTATGGGTGTGTTTGAGCCACATTATTTTGGAATAGTGGATTGATGGAGAATGTGTGGTTGAAAAAGAATGAAAAGTTATTGATGTGATATAAAATATTATTTTATTGAAAAATGTGTGGTTGAAAATGAGTAGAAGAATGACAATGAAAATTTTAATGTGGCTCAAATTGGGGCTATATAAATTTCATACTATTCTGGCAGTTATCATTTATTTCTTTTCATATTACCTTAAATTTTTCTCTCTGAAATATCCTCCTTTTTTCATTCTTCCTAGTAAGTTCTTGCTAGCGCGGGATTTTGAGCCATAGCAAAAATGCTGAATTTATAACTATGATACAGAAAATTTGCTACATAAGCATTTACTCCAATGCAATGACATCATGCACAAATGAACCATTATCTGTGTCTAGCAACGTAAGATGCTCGTTTTTTTTCAGGTTGTCTTCATGAGTTCTGCACACATTGTGCTCTGTATCTATGTTCCACAAATAGCATCTCTACTGTATCTCACGGTCCCCCGGGCTCAATTGCCTGCCCACTCTGCCGGCATGGCATAATTTCTTTCGTTAAGCTTCCAGGCACGAGGTCAGTATGCAAGGATATTTCAAGAACAAGTTTGTCCTTGAATTTTTGCACTTGCTCGGCCGAGGATCCTGAACCCACCTTACTGGAAACCCCATTATGCAAGCCGGAATTCTCGTGTGCTCGGATCTCCCCACTCGGTTCCTCTTTCCGCTCACTTAGCTGCCAAAGTTTTCCTTCTGTGAAACTCCGCCCTAGCCTTTGCATGGGAGCTTCAGACACTACTCCTTCTTTGATTCCAAGATCGATCAACCGTAACTTGAGGAATCAACTGATTAGATGTTCAAGATCCAGCTTTAGGCGTTCAACTTCTCAGAATGAAGGCAGAAGGTGGTTATGCTCTTTTAACCAATCTATGGAAACTGGAAGCACCTGTTGAAGATTAATGTGATTCGGGCGTACATATAATCTACTTCTGCATAGTAACTTTTTAAATTTAATTTTTGAGAAAATGATATATTTATATTACTGCCGTTATCTTTGTTTAGAAGATGTTAATAGCATCTTTGGCGAAAATTTGTGTGTAAATATATGGAATGTGATATGATTTCTCTGAATTCTCACAAGTTTATGGACGCTTGACTTCTCTCTTTAGATCACTTTCTCTACATGTAGAAAATTGCACGAGAGAAATGAAAGAAGAGATCGATTGGTATGAAAATCCAATGTGTACACTATTGACGACAAGAAATCCACTCACGTGGTCATAACCAACACTACCTTGATATTAATCTCCTTCAATCATGGCATTCTATCAATCTAGCTATAAAATCTCAACAAATCACTCTTTTGGTAGTTGAAGCATCGCATTCTGTCAAGACAATTTAAAACTACGTGTGTCAAAATAGGTTGAGTCGTCTACTCACAATTCCCTCAACCCGAATGGACGGCCATGTTAGCTTGAATATGGAAAAAGGGCGGTTGATTGTGACTGTTAAGCGTGACGTTTCTCATCGTTTAAATATGAAAATGATGATCAACGTATAAGAATTTATGCTATTACTTTTAATAATGCCGTTGATTTTGATTATAGACTTGAAGGATCTTTTAAATACAAAAACGATAATCAGACGTTAGTGCTACTTACCATAATAAGTTTAACCTTTTACGGTGTTGCTCCAAGACTTTGGATTTCGTTTGGTAAGACTTTTGAAATGTTAAAAGTTACTTATAAGATTAAAAAATCACTTTTGAACTTGTTCGAATAATTTTTTAAAACTATTTTAGTTGGCTAAAAGAGCTTTTAAACAAAGTTGGTTTGAGATAACTTTTTCAGTAAGTTCTTTTAGAAAAGCAAAAACAAAAATAAAAGTCTTATCAAACAGACCCTTAATGCTGACGTTTATGTCTACCTCAACACCAAGCAAAAATCTCTCTTGACTCTCCATCTCTAAAACTAGCTGACAAGTTCCGAACACGTGAGAATGGTCAAAACCTGAAAACGCCAAAACTAAGGTTTAATCTTTGTAATGAAGTAGTTGAGATTAAGTTTTGACAGATTTTCAGTCTCCAATTCAAAGGTGTTAGTTTGCAAAGGTGGGGACACAGGACACTTAAATTTCGCTTGCATTCACATGCACGTTCATGGAATCTTGAGTCCTATAATTTAATATTTGGCTTTTAATATTAATATTAACATTGACATTGATGAATTGCCACCATTATTTTCAGAAACTTTTTTGACAATGTAAGCAGTTCAGCACAAGTGTCAAGGAGTTGTTGAATGGCAGGTTGATTAATAAGGGATATAGAAAGATTAGTGGATCAATAAAAAAAGTTAATACTGTTTGAAACACACGACAGACCAGTTAGAAGTACAAACAATCCTTGATCCAATTGTGCTATACAAACATGCTAAAAAACAGGTTCAAATACAGGGAAAACGCGTGTCGACGTGTGATTGGACAGTTTGAAACAAGTAAAAACACAATATCCGATTATTATCTATCACATTACCCCGTTCCCTCATCAATGTCCTTGAGTCTGTCCAAGGAGCATTATTCTCCTTGGTCTAAGCGCATTTAGTTTGAGCTTAGTCATTCCAATTGCGCCCTATTTTTTTGAGCCGGGCCCAATAGCACGGCTCATAATTTTTTATTTATTAATTAAATACGACCAAACATGTATTGCATTGCTATAAAAGTCAATGAATGCGAACAAATTTAATTTAACATCTGTTTTAGTAGAAGTCACATGGGACTAAATGGACCTATGTTTGATAAACAAATGTATATCATGTCAAATTTGCTATCCTTAAATTTGTCTACAAGTACTTTCCTTTCTTTCTTTCTTTCTTTTTTTTTTTTTGGGATTCGGATGGGATGTATATGTATGTTCGGTTTTATTTGTCTCGTTTGATTATACTGGAAGTAGTTTTTTTTCTAATTACTTTTCTCAACACGACTTTATATGTTGTCGAGGAAAATAGTTAAAAATGACTTGTAAACATAACGAAATTTCTTGATAAAAAAAAAAAAAATTGTTTGCAGATTGAATAAAAAAAAATGTGTCACATCAATAAAATATTAGTTTTCTACAAATTTTGTATGTGGTCATAAATAATAATATTATTTCTAGCTAGAAACCACGTATGCCCGACACTACATTGACAAAAAAAAAAATTGTAACTAGTAACACTATTAAAATTCTTTATATAGTTATTTTGTTAATGACAATAAACTTAAATAAATTAAGAAAATAATAAATATATATATTGGAATTATAGAACCCCTTGAATTATTCCAATGAAATATTTTCTAATAAAGCATGTACATGTATTGGGATTGCATCATTTATAGGGTTCATAGACTTAAAAATCAGGCATGGAGACTTCTATTCACTTTGAGCAGTGTGCCCTAAACAGCCTGGCTTTCAAAATAAAAACAATTAAAGTAAAGACAAAAGCAAAATCCAAGTTGATTTTATTTGTTTGTTCTTGAGGCTCGATAAAGACAAAGATATGTTTTTACTTTTGCAAAATGGAATTTTTTATTGTAAATTTATTTATTTTTAATTAATTGATTGAGAATTGCATAATTCGATATGTTTGCTAATTACTAATTTTAGGGGTATTTGTTAGACTTTATACAACTTGCACATGCCACTCTCCTATGAGATGTATATGCGATAAGGTGAGTGGTACTACTTCGATTATGACCAATCTTCTTACTCATGTGGAGCATGAGCTGAGAGTGTGTGAAAAACTTGTGACTACTTCTTGAGACTACAATATGTTATGCAAAAGTATATTTTCATTAGTCTTGTTACGCAATTACAGTTGTCCATCTAGATGAGTTACTCATTTTGTAGTGTTATCACACGATAAGCACATTGCCCTCTATGGTCCTAGTGAAACGAATTGACGAAAGAGAATGGTGTATGGCTCCTTTAGCTTAGGGCACAACGTTGGAGGAATGGTCAAATTATCTACCAATGCTCGATTCAATTGTTTCCAAGAATTTGTACTTAGTATTAATATTTTAGATATCTCAATGGAGCTAACTTCTTGTGCAACTACTTGTTTTGCCATCCCTATTCAACAAATTAGATGCATAAACATTTTATTTGTTGGAGTTCAACAAATCAGCAAAGCTCTCTCAACGATATTCTTCGTCTCTAATTCACACATTTTAATTTTAATTTTAGTATTGACTTAATTTTCGTTCCACAAAATATGCGTCGGTATAACATTTTCACACATAAAGTCACCAAAAATAATTCAATTGTTTAGTGATTATCACTATAGAGACGTAGAAACAAGGCATGCATCGAAAGTCAACTATACTTTGACTTTTAGCTTCAATTTTTTGTGTATTGATATAATTAAAAAAAGTTATAATTGCAAGGAAGGAGACATAAAGTGGGAGATCCTTCTTCTATGTGGGTTTTTGGTTCCATTGCCGACCGTTCTTTAGGGGCACAAAAAAGTAGAGCACAAAGGCAAACCCATGAATATATGCATGAGAAAGTGCAAAATTTTTCACTTCCAAGAAGATGGGGTCCACTCAAGTAACACTCACATTGACCTAAAAATCAGATTTGTAATAAATTTTGATAAAAGTTGATGAAACGCGTGTTTGAAAAATTGTGAATATTATGAAATACGTGGTTAAAATTAATTTTTAATTAAAATTAAAATTTAGATTTTAATTTTTACTAAATAAGGACTTAATTAAAAGTAACTTTTTAAAAAGTATGTTAAAGTAAGTTAGTTTTAAACTCAACAAAACATACTTTTGACTAAGCTTGAAAGTTGCTACTCTCACTTTCTTCTTTTCATTTATAGCCATATTTAATTGTGTTTGAAAGCGTTTGTTTTAACTTTTAGTTACTTTTTCTATGGCCTGCCATGATGTCGAGAAAAATAGCTCGAAAAACTATTTTTAAACACATTCAAATATCATCTAGCTAAGCATTTTATGAATCTTGAATTTACGTCATGCAAAAAAACGTATTCAAAAGCAACTTTTAACTTTTAATTGTTGTCCAACATTCGCTAACCAAACACGTCTTGTTTTCAATAAGTTTGTAATCGATTACGTGAATCTTTTTTTTATCACTCTGATTAATATGGTTTTCAAGCATTCTCCGATATCCACTAATCTAACACGTGTCTTGTTTTCAATAAATTTGTAATTGACTACATGAAATCTTTTTTGATCACACCGTTTAATACGGTTCTAAATAAAGACTTGCTCTAATGTTGAATGGAATCTGAATTAGAATGGGATAGAAGCATTGAAATAAGAATGCGATCAGATGGGGAAAAAAGTTAAAAAAAAAAAAAAACAAATGAAAAATGATTAAAAAATGCAGTGGGAGTGGGATGCTTGAGTTCACATTTAATGCATAGGTAGATGAATAAATTAAAATTCAAGTGATTATAAGTTGTAGGTTTCGTGGAAATTATGAATGAAAAGTCGATGATAATTGTAAATCTTACGAAAAAAAATATATGAATAAAATATTTGTATTTGATGAAAGAAAAATGTTATTCATCCCCAGTCTATGTCGATATAAATGATTGGTTAAATGATAGGTGAAATTAAATAATTTCACCTATAATTTAATGCCACATTAACGTCATATAGACTGAGGATGCATCTCCAGTGGGGATGAATAGGATTTCTCTTGATGAAAAGTGTCACTTGCCAATAATTTACTTTTTCAAGAACCCTTTTTTCTTAATTAGACTAATTAAATGTGCATTGGGGTTGATGAAATGGGGTTTTGGAAGTCAAACCAAAAGGCCTTGCATTTGATGAAATCATAAATTGTCACCTTCACTGCATGTAGTAATTATGTATTTAGAAATTGAATGAGTGCCATTTTTTGTGCTAATTAGATCCAATAATAATGCACTAGTAAATTTATTGCTGCAAATTCAAAAATTTCAACCCTACGGTGCATCGCATTTACTCCTTTTCTCTCTGTAAATTTGACTTTGCAGGTTTTTTTAAATGAATGGGATGCCTCCTTCTCCTTCAGTCCTTATCAAATGGCCGGCTTTATATATCACTGAATTGTTTTGTTTTGCAATCTAATTATTTGATAAATTGATTCAAAGAAAACTTGATGGGGCCTTTCATTTCAGCCAAGATTTTGTATTTTTAGTCAAACGAGACACTGTTGCAACAGATGATATATTAGTATTAAGCTTCAGTCTGGTTGAGTTTTCTCAAGATAATATGGATTTGGTTCTTGAAATCAAAGAAAAAGGGTTTCTTTCTCCATCCCAACAGCCTTATTTTCTCATTCAGCCACCTACACCTCCTTCTTTCAGTGTTGTTCATACAAGTGGGTTCAATTTGAACAACAAGGTCAGTCCAAGTATATTGCTGATTATTATAATCCTTGCCATTATTTTCTTTATTTCTGGTTTGCTTCACCTTCTTGTTAGATTCCTATTGAGACCTCCTAATAGGGATCCTGATGAGTTAGAAAATGTGACTGTCCTACAAGGCCAGTTGCAGCAACTCTTTCATTTGCATGATTCTGGTGTTGATCAATCTTTTATTGACACCCTCCCTGTATTCAATTACAAAGCAATTATAGGAGTGAAGGATCCATTTGATTGTGCTGTTTGTTTGTGTGAATTTGAGTCTGAAGATAAGCTTAGGCTTCTACCCAAGTGCAGCCATGCCTTCCACATGGAGTGTATAGATACTTGGCTGTTATCTCACTCCACTTGCCCTCTTTGTAGAGCAAGTTTGATTCCCGATTTTTCACGAAAAAGCAATTGTTCTCCAATAGTCCTTGTTCTTGAATCTGAAAGTGAAAGCTCAAGAGAGATTGTTTTGGATAGGGAGGGTGGATTAGACACCAGTAATCCAGTTTCAAGAGTGAATTCTCATTTGAGTGTTCATTGTGATGATGAATTTAAACAATCTCATGAAGATCCAGTGCCTAACTCTTGCGAAATTCAGTCAAAGGATGACGGAAATCAGCAAATAGTTGTGGGTTCGGGAGGAAAACTTGTCACTGTAAAGCTTGGGAAGTTCAAGAATGTCGAAGGTCGGGGTGAAGGTAGTAGTGATAGTAGTGCTGATGCAAGAAGGTGCTTCTCCATGGGGTCTTTTGCTTATGTAATGGACGAAAATTTATCGTTGCAAGTTTCCATTAGAACCCCTATGAAGAAACAATCGAGCAAGAAACCTACTTTGCCATTGACACCAGGTCATAGGCTAGCACTGTCTGAATGTGGATGTGATTCAAGAAGAGAATTTGGTGGTTTTGAAGAATTTAGGATTGAAGATGGCAATGATAGTAGTATTACCAGTAGCAATGACAGAAAGGCCATTGGGAAAAGCAAGAGGGAAAGCTTTTCAGTGTCAAAGATTTGGCTTAGGGGAAAAAAGGATAGGCCTAATGCAGCCACAGTCGAGTCATCTAGGCGCGCGTTTTCATTCCGGTTTCCGGGGAACCAGAACATGATGGCTGCTGGCGAATTGAAGTCCAAAAACGATGTTCATAGTGCCAGGAGGACAATATCTGAACTCGACACCAGTAGGTGGGAAAACGGAGGAAGTGAATTGGGCTGTGATATTGACCAGAGATATAACAGCTTGGATTCTCAAGAAAATTCTCCATCTTTTGCAAGGAGAACTCTTCTTTGGTTCGTGGGAAGACAAAACAAGGTTGTTAATTCATCTTTTCCATCCAACGTTTAGTTTTTTGTTTTCCATTTTGGTACATTTTCTTTTGTAGATTAAAGGAAACAAATACTTCATTATGAAGAAAATCCAGGTACAAAA